AGGATATCGGTACAGAGTAATAGTAATACGGAGTAGTCATACATGTAATAACAGCATGATCTGGACGTCTCTCCAAAGTCAGGACAGCAGGAACAGGCAGCGGGTGATCTACACTGCTATGTCTCCCACGAGGAAAAGAAGAAGAAGAAGGGAGACAGGTTGGTCTGTACAGATTGCGAACAGTAGGACTTGCAGTCTGTATGGCCTCTACCTACCAGTACGGAGTACCTAAAACCTTGTAGATACCCATCTCATCGTCCCGATACAAGCACACGAGAGCGTACTGTTCCGTTCGAGGCCGCCAGAGATGGCCCTGCATCAAGTGACTGGTCAGAGCCTGCTGAGACGGCGCAGAACTCAAAAAAGAAGGACGCAACGAGGCGGCGGGGCTAGAGGAATGTTAAGTGGCGGCAGACGCCCGGACCACACAGATCAGAGACCATCACTTCATAGCCCGTGGCTTCTACTTAATCGAGATGGGAATCAGAGTGCATGTACGGTTACGGTGATGGCTATAACATGTCACCGTCACAGTGCCCTACGTACCTCGGGTTTCCGTAACAGGATCCTCGCGCCATGGACCATCATCGTGACTATGCAGGTGCGTGTATTCATAACATGGCCGCAATGGCAGGCATATATACTTCCGCCTCATACGATAAAGTCAACTCTGCTGGAAGAACGGCAAATGCACACAGAAGGACACAAGCCCCCCCCCCCCCCAAATCTCTACGGGGGGGAGGGGGAGGGAGGATCAGCCTCCACGTGGTGCGCCTCTTCACGATGGCGACATGGTTGATGGTTGATGATAGACGGTGATATACTACGACATTTATTCATTCTGTTGCTGGTCCTGCGATAAGTACTTCGGTCGGACTCCAAGAGACAAAGAGGGTCACCGCTCCCCTATTGCCCTATTGCCCTTCCTTGCGTTACCTCCCCTCCCCCCCCCTCCTCCTTCCCCCGACTAGAGACAGATCTCTCCGTTCGAACAAGACACGGGACGTCAGACGGAAAGAGAAGTCTCTTCTTCTTGTCTACCTTCTTTCTTTTCGTCCCTCCCGGTGTGTACCTACGACAGATCCTACGACAGATAATGTAGAGGCTGAGAGCGAATACGGCACAGACGAGGGGAAGGGGGGGGGCGTGGGTGGGGGGGAAACAATCTGGAGGTGGGCCAGGGCCAGTGCCATGGATATGAAAATCATAAAGCCGGGGGTCGGTGATTCTTGCTGATCTGGGTCCCCTCTTGCTCTGTTACCGGTAACAATCTACATGTAGCCGTAGCCATTTCCTCTTATTCTTCTTTTCTGCTCCTCAACCGACATACATGCAACCTATGAGACATGACAGATGACTCTCAACCTCTTCAAGATACTGCTCCCAAGGAAACTAACCCCCCCTCCCACCCCCGATGTCCCGGGGCCCCATCCGAACCTGGATCATCTTTTGTATATTGTCAAGTCATGGATCACGTTCCGCCCACCACGACATGCGGCAGGACGGGTGGGAGGGATATGTCTGGCGGCTTCCTGTCAAAAGGCACCGCGGCACATGAGTTTAATGGCGTGATGGTCTTGGCTTCTCGTCGCCTGTCATCTTATCCGTCTCCCTATCCAGACACACACACACACACACACACACACAGGCATGAGGAGAAAGATAGGGATACCGTTTTCGCTACAGAGATTCGACAGTCATTTAAGGGAGCAAGACCACAACAACGCCTTGCAGTCTGCCCTCCAATTTATCGACTTGGCCCCCCCCCCCCCCCCCACCCCCCAAGTCAC